ATGAGGACATTAGATCACTCCAGGATGATTTGAATAGACTGATGTAGTGGTGTGTGTAGTAATCTAAAACCAAGACAGCAGTGCATTAGTGATCGCAATAAAGCTAACAGAATTCTTGGCTTCATAGCAAGAAGTATAAATAATAGGAGTACTCACGTTGTTCTTCATCTCTATATATCCTTGGTTAGGCCTCATTTAGATTATGCTGCACAGTTTTGGTCACCGTATTACTGAATGAATATAAATGCTCTAGAAAACGTACAAAGGAGGATGAATCTGCACTCTCTAGAAAGGCTTAGAATTAGGAGTGGTATGATTGAGGTATACAAATGGAAAATAAGAATTAATAAAGGGGATGTAAATAGCTTGCTAAAAATATCTAACGTAGACAGGACTCGCAGCAATGGCTTTAAATTGGAAAAATTCAGATTCATGAAAGGATATAAGGAAGCACTGGTTTGGTAATAGAGTTATGGATGAGTGGAACAAACTCCCGAGTACCGTCATAATTTTTCTCTGACATATATCGCCAGACCACCACCCTTCCTGTTGACCCTATCAGTGTGGAATAGTTTATAACCCTGTATGTTGCATTCAGAAGGCATTTCTTGATCTTTCAGGTTGAACCAGGTCTCTGTTATAGCAATAATATCTAAATTACCTACACTTGCAAGTAATCTTAGCTAATCTATCTTATTTCTTTGACTCCTATTATTTGTATAGAAAACCTTAAGGGAGCTAGTCACTCGTTGCCCTCTACTATCACTCTTTGTTTGTTGATCAATTGATTTGCCATTACTAACAACTTTATTTTGAATATTGTCTTTTAAACATATCCCTGAGGTATCCCGGTAATAACTGCTGTTTTTAACCTTAATGCTGCAGCCTGATTGTTTCCCACAAACACCCATACCTCTATAATCTATTAGTTTAAATTCCTAGACAAGCCATCAATTACCCTCTCAGTTGAATTGGCTATTGCAAGCACTCCATCCCCAGAGAGATGAACCCCATCCCTTGCATACATATCATGTTTACCAAAGAATAGGTCCCAGTTATCAATGAATGGGATTGCAAGTTCCTTGCAGTACCTGTCAAGGCAGCAATTTATACCAATTGCCCTAGACATCCATTCATTGCCCACTCCCTTTCTAGGCAAGATGCTACATATGACTGGGATCCCTCCCTTAGACCTAACTACTTCTTTGGCTAACCTGTACTTATCCAGCAGCTTCTCTCTCCTGCCCTTCCCAATGTCATTACCCCCAGCACTAAGACAGATAATGGGCTAGTTCCCATTACCTGCCAAAATTTTATCCAACCTGCTGACTATGTCACGAACACCAGCTCCATGAAGGCACACTCTCTGTCTGACCTTTCTGTCTCTGTTACAAAATGCATGGTCCATATATCTTACCTGAGAATCGCCTACTATTAAAATATTCTTACCTTGATTAGCAGGGGAATCTCCGGTACCTTCAACCTTACTAACCACTGAAGTACACTCGTCTTGGAGAACAGAGAATCGATTTCCTACCTTCACATCTTCTCTATTAACTCTCCTCATCTTCCTTCTTCCTGAACTCTGAACCGCTTGCCACTTAAAGTGGCTGCCACTATCACTGCTGTTGACCATTCCTTCCTTACCAGCTAAATCCTTCTCACACTCGCTCCCAAACTCATCTATGCGAAGCTTCAGCCTCCTATTTTCCTCCTGAAGAAGTAGAATCTCCTTCTTCAACACATGAACCTGAGATTCTAAAACACCACAACAAGCCATGGTGCTTGGTAACAGCCCACGCTAACTCCCAAGAGCTTAGGCAGGTATGACCGCAGGTAACCACTGACCTCAGATGTAGTGATCCTCTAGCTTTTGCACTAATTATTGTGAAGAACTGTGTCGAAGGCCTTCTTGCAGTCCAAGATGTTGCAATCTACCCACCCCTCTCTCTTGTGTCTTACTTCTGTTTCCTTGTCATAAAACTCCACTAGGTTTGTGACTCAGGATTTCCCTTCCCTGAAACCGTGCTGCTTGTCGCTGATAAACTTATTCCTTTCAAGGTGCTCCACTACTGTTCTCCTGATAATTTTCTCCTTGACTTTGCTTAACATACTCGTCAGTGACACTGGTCTGTAGTTTAATGCCTCGGGTCTGTCTTCTGTCTCAATAATTGGGACTACATTTCCCGTCTTCTAAAACTCAGGTAGTTGCCCAGTTTCCGTGGATGCGTTGAAAATTGTTGTTAGTGGCATACACAGCATCTCTACTCCCTCTCTAAGGAAGAGATGTTGTCCGGTTCCACCGCCTTTAAGGTATCAAGTTCAGTTAGCAGCTTCTTCACCTCCTCCTCGGTTGTGTGAATTTCATCCAGCACTTGTTGGTATATCCCTTGTTGGTGTACACCCCACTTTTCCCTATTTTGACTTTCCGGAGTCCTTTCTGTCTCCACTGTAAATACTTCTTTAAATCTCTCTCTCTCGCGCGCGCGTGTGTGTGTGTGTACTCTCCTATTTGTACTCACCTATTTGTGGTTGCAGGGGTCGAGTCATAGCTCCTGGCCCTGGCTCTTCACTGACCGCTTCTAGGTTCTCTCTCTCCCTGCTCCATGAGCTTTATCGAACCTCGTCTTAAAACTAAGTATGGTTCCTGCCTCCACTATGTCACTTTCCAGACTATTCCACCTCCTGACAACTCTATGACTCAAGATATACTTCTTAACATATCTCTAACTCATCTGAGTCTTCAACTTCCAATTGTGACCCTTTGTTTCTGTGTCCCATCTGTGGAACATCCTGTCTCTATCCACCTTGTCAATTCCCCGCAGTATTTTGTATGTCGTTATCATGTCTCCCCTAACCCTCTTGTCCTCCAGTAGGACATTCCCCTTAGCTCTGGAACTAGTCTTTGTTTTTGTGTGGGTGTGTGTACTCAAATACTAACCTATTTGTGGTTGTAGGGGTCGATATATAGCTCCTGGCCCCGGCTCTTTACTGATCACTACTAGGTCCTCTCTCCCCCGGTTCCATGAGCTTAATCATATCTCGTCTTAAAACTATGTATGGTTCCTGCCTCCACTACATCAATTGCCAGACTATTCTACTTCCTATGACTAAAGAAATACTTCCTAATATCTCTTTGATTCATCTGATTCTTCAACTTCCAATTGTAACCCTTGTTTCTGTGCCCCTTCTATGGAACATCCTCTCTCTGCCCACCTTGTGAAATCCACGCATTATTTCGTGTGTCGTTATCATGTCTCCCTTACCCCTCCTGTCCTCCAGTGTAGTCAGGCCGATTTAATTCTTCTCATTAACTTCGCATCATACGCAAACAGGGACACTTCTGAGTCTATCCCTTCCATCATGTCATTCACATATACCAAAAACAGCACTGGTCCTAGGACTGACCTCTGTGGAACCCCGCTCGTCTCAAGCGCCCACTCTGATACTTCGTCACGTACCATGACTCGCTGTTGCTCCCTGTCAGGTATTCTCTGATCCATTGCAGTGCCCTTACTGTTATACGTGCCTGATCTCTTAGCTTTTGCACTAATCTCTTGTGAGGAACTGTGTCGAAGGCTTTCTTGCAATCCAAGAAAATGCAATCTACCCACCCCTCTCTCGTGTCTTACTTCCGTTACCTTGTCATAAAACTGCAGTAGGTTTGTGACACAGGATTTCCCGTCCCTGAAACCGTGCTGGCTATCGCTGATAAGCTCATTCCTTTCAAGGTGCCCCACCACTCTTTTCCTGATAATTTTTTCCATGACCATGCATACTATACACGTCAGTGACACTGGTCTGTAGTTTAATGCTTCGTGTCTGTCTTCTTTTTAAAAAACAGGGACTACATTTGCTGTCTTCCATACCTCCGTTAGTAGCCCTGTTTCAATAGATGTGTTGAAGATAGTTGTTAGTGGTACACGAAGCGCCTTTGCTTCCTCTCTCAGGACCCATGGAGTGATGTTATCCGGCCCTATCGCCTTTGAGATGTCTAGCTCGCTTAGCAGCTTTCTCACTTCTTCCTCGGTTGTATGTATTGTGTCCAACACTTGATGGTGTACCCCACCTCTCCACCTCTCTGGAGGCCCTTCTGTCTCCTCTGTGAACACTTCGGTCATTTTTTGTGACTTCCCCTCCTTCCTTCCTCAGCCTGATCACCTGGTCCTTCACTATCATTTTCCTTCTGATGTGGCTGTACAACAGCTTTGTGTATGTGTGTGTGTGTTTGTGTGTGTGTGTGTGTGTGTGTGTGTGTGTGTGTGTGTGTGTGTGTGGTGTGTGTGTGTGTGTGTGTGTGTGTGTGTGTGTGTGTGTGTGTGTGTGTGTGTGTGTGTTTGTATGTGTGTGTAATTTATTGTATGCTTGTGGTCATCCATTTATAGAAAAAGAAGAATGCTCGTTGAGTCTCTTTTTGTATGCTCAGTTTGTTATGCAAGTATTTGTTTATAGTACTAATATTCTTCCACTAACTGTGACGATAAAAACTTCAGTATTCTTTTAGTATATAAAAGTGGCATTATTAGGTACACATTTCGTATTTCCAATCCAATATTAAAAAATGAAGTAGACTACAAAACAGCAGCTTCCTGTGAGGATGAGATCAGTGATGGCTGTGTCTGGCCTGACCTTCACTGTATAATGATTGTTTTCGTGGGATTAAGTATTATTTTAGATCACATGTTCAAAATACAAAGGGCATACAACAGGTAAATATTTGCAAAAATGTAAGTTGGTAAGTGTGTTCGAGAGTGCATTTTGATGTCAATAATGTATGAAAATAGTGCAAAAATTTGGAGAAAATAAGCATATATTATAAACGTTTTTAAAGCGAGAGATGTGTATCTCTTGGTGTATATACAACGAGAGTTTACTTTCATTCCTGTTTTTAGCATTAGTTTCTTTACTTGACATATATTCATATCTCCCGTATAGTAAATAGGAATTAAACTAATGAATTAACGTATTTACCAATTTTACTCATTTTCATTTAAATTAAGGAGTTGTGTATTGTGCTGAGTGTATACCCAGATACCTGAAACTGGATCCAGGCTACTGTACTTATCCCGCCTTAGTGAAACTTAATCGTATCTTGAAGTGGCGACATTCTTGTATCATGTGGTGCCTTTAACCTTGTCTGGGGACTAACTTAAGAGGGCAAAGGTCATTTGTTTGCATTTCTTCAAAGTGATATTCAGAGTAATTATTTCTAGTAGCAATGAAGGAATAAATAAAGTCAGCATCACTGATTATTTCGAAAACTTAATTTTCAAAACAACACGCGTTGAAGAGGGAAACAAGTTGTGCTAATTGATTGTTCATAGAACTGACGGTTACTTGTTTCATTAAGGAAAAAATGGAAAACAGATAAAGATATTTATTAATTGTTGAAAAGTGTATGACAAATGTGATACAGGAGAAGAGCTGACGCTGGAGGGTTGCCACTCTCTCTCTGTTGACAAGATGGCGCACCTTAGCAGGAAAATTCTCGTAGGAGTAATGGTGTTGGTGATGACGCTCCGGCGGCGGTGGGCGGCCATGGGCGTCACTACCTTATTGTGGGGCGTGGGCGTCCTCTGTATCTTCAGCTTCTATCTGGCCTACATGCAGCCACCGGGCGTACACGTGCTGTAAGTATTTAACACTAAACTCCATAACCGAAGTATCGAGTAAACAATGAATCCGTAATTATTCTTTGGACAGGATAAAGTACTGTCCACAACACGATGACAAGTCATTGAACAAACTGGGATTTGAACCCATCATAAGCCAGTTCTAAAACTGGCAAGTTTTATCATATAGGTGTATATTTATACACATTCATATAGGTACACATTCATATAGGTGTATGTTTATACATATTCATATAGGTGTATATTTATACACATTCATATAGGTGTATATCTATACAAACTAAGAAGGCTAACATTGTGTCTATAAAAGCAGGGATTTACGGACGATTCCCACACTAGCATTCAATTCAATTCAATTCAATTCAAAGTTTATTCTCTATAAGGATTACAATGCTGAGTTTACAGAATTTGCTTATTGTGTGGTTTACATGTAGTAAAATAATGATTACAGAGTGTACCACTAGAACACCTAGCATGGCTAGGCATTTCGGGCAGACTTAGTTTAAATCTTAATTTTAAAATATTACAAATTATGAGGTAAGTTGGTATTATGGCTAAGTGACTAAATACTAGTTTGTGAGTTTAGCAATGTGAATGCTTTTGTTTTGGCACAGTACATAGTTTCAGTATTGGAGTATCACAGGATTCATTATTTTAAGATTGAGATTAATATTTCTGTTTATGGTCAAATGGGTGAGTGAGTGTAAGTGTGAACCACCAGGTGGTATTCGTGTAGTTAGTTGACGGGGTGTATCAGGGAGATAAGATGTTTTCTAATGTAGTTTTGAAGGTGATGAATGTGTCCTGCAGTTCTAGAGTTCTCAGGTAGGGTGTTCCAGGATTTTAGGGCCTTTGACATACATTGAATTTTTGTAAAGGTTTAGTCGGACACGGGGAATGTCGTAGAGATGTTTGTGCCTGGTGTTATGCCTGTGGGTTCTGTCACAACTATTAAGAAAGCGTTTTAGGTCAAGGTTGATATTGGAGTTTAAGGTCCTGTAGATGTAGATTGCACAGTAGTAAGTGTGGATGTACTGAACAGGGAGTAAGTTTAGATCTATGAAGAGTGGGGGGTGTGTTGCCAGGGATGGGATTTAGTGATTATTCTTACTGCAGCTTTTTGTTGGGTTTATTATTGGCTTTACGTGTGTTGCTGCAGTTGATCCCCAAGCACAAATAGCTTAGGTGAGGTATGGATAAATAAGTTGATGGTTATAGTGTGAGAAGGGCATTTTGTGGCACGTAGTATCGTATCTTGGAGAGGATCCCAACCGTTTTTGGATACTTTTTTGGTTATGTGTTGGATATGGGTGCTGAAATTAAGGTTGTTGTCAAGGTATAGGCCTAGAATTTGCCCTCATTATGTCTGGTAATTAGAGTGTTGTCGATCTTAATGTTAATTTGTGCATCTCTGCTCTCTTCCAAACATAATATAGTAGGTTTTGTCAGTGTTAAGCGTAAGTTTATTGGCTGTCATCCAAGTTGATATTTTGATCAGCTCCTCGTTAACATGGTGTTGAGGGTGGCAAGATTAGGGTGAGAGATGACATAAGTCGTGTCGTCAGCAAAGCGAATGGGTTTCAGGTGTTGGGATACGTTTGGAAGATCATTGATGTATATGAGGAAGAGCAGGGGACCAAGGACACTTCCCTGCGGAACTCCAGCATCAAGTGGCCGTGTTGTTGATGCTGTGTCTTTAATGGTGACATACTGATACCTATTAGTAAGGTAAGATTTGAAATAAGCAAGCGCATGGCCTCTTATACCGTAATGGTCAAGTTTGTGGAGTAGGATGTCAAAAGCTTTTCTTAGGTCAATAAAAATTCCTAGTGGATATTCCTTATTTTCCAATGCTGTGTAAAGCAGATCTAGCATTTTTATGATTGCATCATTAGTACTTTTGTTTTTCCTGAATCCAAATTAGCAGGGGTTGAGTATGTTTTGTGTCGTTATAAATTAATATAGTCTCCTGTGCACGAGTTTCTCAAAGATTTTGGATAGCAATGGTAAGTTTGATATTGGCCTATAGTTGTTTAAGTCTGTAGGGTCACCACCTTTATGAATTGGTGTAACCCTTGCCATCTTGAGTAGTTTTGGGAAGGTGCTAGTTTCTAGTGACTTGTTAAAAAGTAATGAAATAGCATGCGAAAGGACAGGGCCGCTCGCTTGTAAAAGAAAATGGTGGGACATGAGCAGTTTCCCCTGAGTTGTTTTTAAGTGACTTTAAAATCTCGGTGACTTCGAGGGCTCAGTTGGTGCAAGATAGAAGGAATTTGGGAAATTCCCATCTAGGTAGTCCCCCCCGGCAGGGGCATTGGTATGTGGGATTTTATTGGCGAGTTTAGATCCTATGGTTGAGAAGAAGTCGTTTATCTTGTTAGCTGTGTCAGTGGGATGTAGTGGTGTTTCATTAGGTTTAGTTAGGAAAAATATTCTTGTTTTTTTCAGTTTATGGGTTCCTAAAATCTGAGAGAGGTTTTCCAGGTCTTTTTTTATATCTCTTCTAGTGTCTGTGAATCTACGGAGTAGTATAGTTGTTTTGGGTTTTTTTATTAAATTTGGTGAGAACTGATGAATAGTGTTTAAGAATATCTTTGTGTATTAAGCCCTGTCCTATATTGCTTTTCATTATTGGTGTTTCTTGTCAATGGATTTCAGAATGGTGCTGGTTAGCCATGGGCAAAACCCAAACCGTTTGTTTGTGATCTGTTTCGTTTTTATAGGACAATGTTTGTTGTATAGTTCTAAGTAGTTTGTTAAGAAAAATGTCTGTCCAGTTTATCAATACCATTGGCCTTGGAGAATTCTGTAGGCCAGTCAACAGTCTCTAGGTCAGCTGGAACTTCCTTATTGAGGCCTCATCATGGAGTCTAAATGAACTTTGGGTTTTATTCAAGTGGTGGTTTTTCTAATGTTTTGTCAGGAGGAAGGTAGGGGAGTGGTTTTGTAGTGCTATCTGTGATTATCCCTGATTTAAGGGGGCTAGTATATTGGTCCATATGTGGTCTATTATGGTTGCACTTTTCTCAGTGAGCCTGGTTGGTTTAGTTATTGTTTGGTATGAGAAGGTGTTGTTCACATTGTTGATGAAATCAGTTACAGGTTGATGTTGAAGTCTCCAGCTACGAGAAGGTGGTGCTTATTCATTTGTCTGTTTGTTATTAGTGATTTTAATTCTCACTGAATTGGGAGTTTTTTGTGAGGTATCGGTAAATGGCACCGTTGGTATAGGTGTCTTAAGGTTTTTACGTAAAATTAGCAAAATGATTCCCAATTCATCACTAAAGCAGGGTGCTAATACAGATAATTGGTTTTTGAGTAATAAAATTGCAATACCCCCCCAACTTGGTTTGGTCTGCAGTTGTGATTTTTTTTTTTATTTTATTTAAACTCAGGTACAAAATTATGGGACATAATCAATAGTAACAAGATACAGGCATAAAAGATAATCTGCGTGACTACACAATACCCAAAAAAGCATTATTTTAATGACATCAGAATTGGCTGCTGCACCCAATCAAACACTACTTTTATGTCCGTTTCATTCCGTGAAAAAAGGTTTATAATAAAACGTAGTCCTCTTAGTAATGTTTACACTCCCCCCCCCTTTAAAAACATACCACTTTCACCTGAGTTAAATCATTGACATCTCTTAACATTATTAGACCATTAAGGATAATCATTGACCATGTATAAACAAATCAGCCATCTAAAAGGCTGAATATAATACAAGAAAATTGAACTGGGTTTCCCCATCCACCAAAGAAACCAATCCACACCTACCCTCATAACCCATGATAACAACTATCGTGCCGGGTGATTTAATACATACCGCTGACTCTTTACCCCCCCCCAAAACCTTTTTTGGTCTAAA